TTATACAATATTAAGATATCAAATATAGATGTAATTAACATTAATTTCACCTTATAATTTATTTCATATTTTTTTCCATTTTCCATATTTTTTCTATTAAAAATTGTGGTTTTTTACTATATAAATGTAAACTTGTCATTTAAACGAATATTAAAAAGTACAAAAAATTGGCAGACAAGTTTCATTATTAATAAAATACAAAATAAAGTACTTTTCATTTCTTATTTTTAATGATAATTGATTTCATACGATTAGTTTCACTTTGAATATTTACTTACATATTAAACTATAATAATTAGTCATGTAATTTATTTATTACAACTACTTAAGCACAACAGGTATATACCAAACAAAGGGGGGAAACAGCTTATGAAAATTAATTGAAAATTAGAAATTAATATCGATACATCTATTAATTAATATCATTTCTAATTTGACAGCCATGAGTTCTAAGCCTGGCACTTGCAGTCCAAACAAATTATATACAGACTATAAACTAATTAAATAAAAATTCGAATATTTCTTAAAAATCACTGTTTAGGAGTACTTGGTAATACTCGAAACAGCGTTGTATGGTCAATTAAATTTCAACATATTATTTAAAATTGTTGTTGTTGTTGCTTTATAACTGTTCGAACTCTTCTAACTTAAAAATTAAAATCATCTCATATAAGAATATTCGAAGAAAAGAAAATTTGTTCAGTAATTATCTTAAATGTGTCATTAGCATTTATTAAGGTATTTGATAAGATGCTTTATAATGATACCAAATGTTTTTATGAGATAATTAAATCTTACCTGAAGCGATAGAGTATTTTTTAGGATATTTAATGAAATGCTAAAGATATCATATCTTAAGCGCAAGAGTTGATAATAGTGTATTATCAAAAAAATTATCTTTTTCTTATTATCTTGTAGCGTATCTCAGGTGAAAATGTTGGTACTTTAAAGTACATCAAAATAGACCTAGAGCAACTAAATTCTCGATACAAATATCGCAATGTTTTTGGACATCCCTGCTGCTATTAAAAATCTAGTAATTGCTTCAGCTACATTCTTTACAGTCCCAGTATGTTAAGTTTTGCTGAATGAAGCGCGGCAGTGTCCAAATCACATAATTATCTAGCCGTAGTACCATCTCGAGTAACTGTAGAGTTGAGAAGCTTTTCAAACCAGGTATAGTACTCTATAAAACTAAATCACAAGACATTGATATCACACTCGCACTGGGTAAGCTTGCCATTAAAGTTTTAGTGATAGCTAAAAAAACCCTAAATAGGTGAAGTTTTTTGTTACATTTTAAGATTTACTTGGTCTTATTTAGACAAGAAACTACTTACTAGTAAATTAGTACTGAACAATTGCTTAAACTACAGTAACAGTACTGACAGATCACTACATGTTATGAAGCCATCTTGCAATAACTCTTGTCGTGGCTGTAGTTCTACAGAATAGGAAGAAACTGTATTTTTTATTAAATATCAGTTTCCATCTTTAATCAGTAAAATTTTACATATCTTTTGGGTTTTTTCGCTTATAAACTTGATAGACGTGTTATCATGTAGGGATATAGTGACTAGTTTATTGACTTATCAGGTTGAATCACTTTTACTTAAATGGTATAATCAAGCTTATTATTTTCGACGTTGTCTATTCACTGACCCCAATGGGCTTTATATCTTGTTTGGTGGGCCTCCAGATCTGACATATAAGCAACGTCTACATTCTTGATATAACAATTAGCCTGCATTTGTGTTTAAAAGAGCTGTATTCTCAAAGCCGGTACATCAAACTAACACTTGTAATCGAAAAATTATATACGGACAATTAAATCAATTATTATTTCTAAAAACTGCTAATGTTGGATATTTGGTAGTGTCCGAAACAGCTGCATGGTTAGACCAAACATTTAATTCATTAAAGCTTTTTTAGATTTGAAGATATTCTTAATATCTTAATTCCTTCAATATTATATCATATATTATATTTAAGTGATGTTCCTAAGTACAACTTTCCTGGCTGTGATTATTTGACTATTTTTGGTTTACAAACATCAAGTTTATGTATTTCCTATTTATCTAAAGTTGAATTAGCATATATTAGTAAGCATATCAAATCATTTTAAAATTTGATGAAATTAATTTTAGTGACAATAATATTTTATTACATTAATATACTTAATTAATAAGTAATTGATTTATATTTATTTCAAACAAAAATAATATTTCTGTTTATTTTAAATCAACCTACGTAAAAACGAAAATAGGAATGAACAGGAAGCCAGACGATATAAATTATTCGCATTAAAATGAAACAAAACAACTTAATTTAACAGTTTAGTTAATTATTTCCGTTTTACATAAAATTGCAAATAGAAACGCAAAATATAAATATTGTCTGTCAATTTATCCTAACAGAAATGAAAATGTACTCCTACGATAAAAACAACTTAAAGCAGAAACTAAAAATACAGTGGGTAAAAATTTTCCTTATGCAAAGCTAGCGAATTTGGTCTTTAACTGAAATCAGAGAAAAAAAGCGTTACGTACATCCTCTTACGTATAAAAACAATAAAAAATATTCCCTAACACCGTAGAACAAAAATGTTTGGATTTGTATTTGTATATCTATTAAGCACGTTTTTACTACACACTCGATTTAAATAATACGCCTGATATCTGCGATTACGTATCTTGTATCTTGTATCTCAATAATGTATCTCGAATAAATGCCACTCGTCTTTTGTGTGTTCATATAAAAAAGCATTGCATTACCACGTAATTCCTTTGCTAAAAATAAATATAAAAATTCTTTTCTCTTACAATTCGTAGTTACTTATAATTTCTATTTAATATGTAGTTTAAAACTTATTGTAGAAGAAATCATTTTAGAGTTTATGTAAGGAGAGATTTTATTTGAGTATTTAAATAAGAATTTAAGTGAAATTAATAAAAAAAATTATTTAAGTTTAATTAAACATTATTTTAAGTAATTTTTTTTTCGCTCGTGCGACTAGTGGAGTAACATTAGCATGACTTTCTCAGCATTACGTTCCTAGATTAGGTTCTATACATGAGAGAGTACAAATCATGCAACAAATAATGCGTCTACGAACAGAAATTTTGTATTGAAACTTAACAATTAAAAATAAAAATATAATTAATTAAGTAATTAATTCAATTATTCTACAGCTGGTTTATGTTTTCGTTCTAATATAAACACAGCAAGTAAAATTGTTAATAAAAACTTTCATAGTAATAGTAACAAAAGTCCAGAAAAATATGTGAACAAAAAAGTCAAGTACGGCTTTGGATCACTTGGTTAAGGTGCGCTGATTCTGAGCTTCACATTTGACAGGGCCCGAGTTCGATTCCTGGTACTTGCAGTCTCAAAAATAATTATTTACGAATAATCAAATACAAGAATTAATTCCAAGACCACTGATGATGGGTATTTGGCAATACTCGAAACAGCAATTCATTAAAATAATATAAAAAATAAAATTTTTGTTGTTGTAGTTCACTACTATTTGAAAAAACAACTTTAATAATTTTTTTTTGTTATATAAAAAAATCCAAGAAATCGTCTTATCTAGTTTTACGTTTAAATTCTGATATAAGCAGAAAGGATTGAGGAAGTTTGTTTCAGTATTTTTCACCAAAGTTTCTACTTAATTCAGTTACTCACTGAACTCAGCTTTTATTTAATAAAAAGCAAATCCTGTACTGCGTTGTTCCGCAACGTTTTAAGTGTGAATCGAAAAGTCACTTGGTCGTAGCTAACGTATAATGCGTAAAGTGCACTCACGTGAAAAGTTGAAATGTCGTAACGCCTCAAAATTCACACAGGCAAAAAGGTGTAAAGGATTAAAAAACCAAACACTTTCTAATGGAAAACGAAGCATACTATACATATTCCTATATACATCAAACCCAATTGTGTAAGAGCTTGATTCGAACTCACAACTGCACAAATGAAGAGGCTGTCAAAAGTTTAGTACGGAAATGCACTGACGCATGAAAATCACGTTCACCTTTAAATGAAGTGAAATATTTACTGAGTAGAAAACATCAAGCAAGCCCCAAAGCAAAGTCACGTTGTGAAGGATTCCATGATATCTTAAATAGAAATTCACTTTACTTGCAATACACTTGCTTCACAATTATGTGTTTGAACGCACCGCCACAACACAATATCAAAACGTGTGAGAAATCAGGAATGGTCACTGAGTCATAAGGATTCTTAAAGTGTGGAAGCTCAACTATCAACAAGTGTCAGCGAACGTTTTGTGTGTGTCTAGAAGTTACTACCAGTGTTTGCAGCAGGAAATAAACTAATAATTACATGGTAGCTAAAAATGCAATCAGTGCATATAAGAATTGGTTACACACCCCTTGGAACTGAATTACTTTTGGTTCTTTTTGAAATTACCAGTAAGTGAAAATCAAAGCTATGCAGTTTATGAATGTCAAAAATCACGTTGTCTGCTTTAAGGACATAAACTGCAGGACTGCTTATCTTGATAGAATCACAATCAACGTGATACTGTTGTAAAATTTTGAGCTTTAAAGCTCAATTTTCAGAAACGAAAGAAGACGAGTCTGCGCAGTAGTAGTCGCAAGTTAAGATGCAACGATTCAAAACACTGAAGGGCAGTGAAAATTGAATAACGAAGGATACGAATAAACTTTAACATGCAAAATGGCATTGGGGCAGACTATAAAAGCTGTTGCATGTCAAAGGATTCAAACAGACTAAAACGGTCTTGCTAACAGTTCAATACTAACAGATTTGTAATCTCGGATTATAAAAAAATTTATACAAGTGTATATTATCATTTGATTAACTGATTCTATGTGCTGAAATAGAAAAAAAATATAATTAAATAAATAAAGTGAAAAATTATATATATTAAAACAAAGACTAAGAACTTTAACTAAAAGTGTTAAAAAGAAATATTAAAAATTATTTTTAAATTTTTTAACCAAAAATAAAATAAAATGGATACTCTTACTCCAAAAATATCTTCAACGGATACAAGCAGCAGCAACAGTTCTTCAGCTTCACCATGTATGGATAAAAAATCTAACAAAAAAACGCAGCGCGATCATAAACTGTCCAATTCGCGTTCACGTAGCTTCTTGCATTGCATTGGCAAACGTTTGGGCAAACATTTTATGCATCATCATCCGCATGATGCAATTTTTAACAGTCAAGATGATTTACGCAGTTCCTCGACTGACTCCTTTTCATTAAGTTTTGAACGTGGTTCTCATTTAGAATGTCACATCACTGGCTCAAGTCTTGATCTTACCAGTGAGGAACCAAATTCACGCACTTCATCAGCATCAGCTTGTTCACGTCTCTCACCCATATTGTGTCCTTTAGACTTAGATGAATTAGATTCATTTCGTTACAATAATCAAAACCATTTCTACGTAGAGACTATGTATCGACCAAATAGTGCTTTCGAACATAATAATAATGGCAGTTTAAGTAGCGATGATGATGATGAAAATGTACCAGAAGAACAAAACACAAATTCAGTTCCAGCTTCCAATACACCACGTTCAGTTTCCACAGCAGCTTGCAAAGGTTTACACTTAAGTCGCATATCAATTTCTTCCTCTGTACGCAGTATGTTCCATCATTTTTCACAAACCACTTCAACGCGTTCCTTGTCATGCAGCAGCACGCCTTTGAGACGTATAAGTGATACGATTTCCAAAAAACAGGTTGTCAAGTCCAAAAAATCCACTGCGTCCACCATATCAGCGCCAGCAAACACAAATCGTGACAACAAAAAGAAGGAAAAGAAGCAGCAGAGCATCCTGCGTCCACCAATCAATTATGTTTATATGAAGGGCATGTCGGGCTTATATTCGCGTGTACCACGTTACACAGTCTGTTGTCCTTACGCGATGCAGCAAATCGCCTAAATTTAAGGTGCGACCAAAAGTGAAAGGAAAGTGCAATTGTTATTGAGAGAGAAAAGCAACTGTTATATACAAATGTTTTTTTTTTTTATTCTTAAAATTGTTTAATATTTATATGTAATATCGAATTACTTACAAATGAAAGACTTACTTGATGTTTAGATTAGAATTGGCGTAGAAAGTGATTTAGTGCCTCGAAATTAAGATAAGAGTGTGCATTTTAGAATTTAATTCCAAGTAGTAAAGTATTTGAATAATAAAAATAAAACTATTGTTAAAGACAGCAGAGTATATATGTTAGATATTTATTAAGATATCGGCACTGAAAAGTTCAAATAAGAAACTTGCTGAAAAAAGAGCAATGCAAATAGAATTTTATTATTTAAAAAAAAAAATAAATTTCATATATTTATTTTATTAAATATTTTAATAATTTTTATTTCATAAAATCCAGTACTAATATTCTTTTCGCACAAGAAACTAATACCAAACAGAGTTAAAAAATTTTGATAATATAGCAAAATTATTTTAAAGTTTTATTTTAATTTTTCGTGAGAAATTGATATTAGTACTTACTTTACATCTAAGTACAAACATTAATTAAAAATTAACATAAAACTGCAGATTAAATGATTTTTCCACAAAGTCAAAATTTTGAAGAAAAAGTTTTATATAATTTAATAGGATTTATTTTCTTACACAAATAATTACATATCGAAGAGATTTAGTTCAAATTAACTTAATGGAAATTAAAATTAAAAAATTATTTTTTTTATTAATATTTAATAAATTTATTACTAAAAAATAAAAATCAAAACAAAAAAACTAACTAACTTTAACTACGAATTTACTAAATTTGATTTAGCTAATTCTCCTATAAGAACAAAATCAAAATTTGACACAATGAATTAAAAAAGAAATCCGAAAGCTATTATTACAATATATAAATTAAAAATTTAACTAAAAACTTTGCGAAAACAAATTAAAAATATAATACAAACTCTTGTGATTAATAAAAAAAAACTAAAATTTTATTATATAAAATTATTTTTTAATATTTATGCATATATCAACGTAATATATTTAGTAGAAAATGATATCGTTTAAGTCACTGAAGTAATTAATAAGAAAAAAATAACAAAAAATTCAAAAAAAAACAAAATATGTATATATATAAAATACCCTTAAGAAATTTATTCTGTAAAAATTTTAATTATTTTAAGACTATTACGTCAAGTATATAAAAATAAAAAATACATACATATAAACCATAAAAAATTTGTTCTTTTATTTTCATGAAAATAATTGTTATTTTCAAAAAAACGAGTAAAATACTATTTAATAGACTTTATATCATCTGCAATTCCATCTCTCTAGATATGCCACACATTTTTTAAAGGACCTTTAATTAAAGATGTCTCACGCCATTTATTAAGAATCATTCTGCATTAAAATGAGATAAAGAGTATCCTTTCTGCAAACCATTTCTCTTTACTGCAACTTAAGAGCATGTTCTTTTTCTGTTAACCTCATACTGCTCTGCAATTTACCACGTGCTAATACTTTGTTGTGGGAACAGTTTTAATGAGAATAGTTTCATTTAAGAACAGTTTATTATTGCTTATGCTAACGCTTATATTTTTCGGGTAAAGGTTAAATAACTAAAAAGCGAAGGATTTGTCCTTTAATGTTAGTTGCAGCTAACATAGTGACGACAAAACCTTATTCAATACAAGTCTTTATGTTCAAATATAGTTATCCATAAACTTCCGAAGGCTTAGAACAGCGTAAATATTAGTATTGAAAAGTTTAAAGGAACACTGCGCGACAGTAAATTCCATTTCCTTGTCTGGTCTAAAAAGACCAGACACAATTAACACAAATAAATAATTTACTGAATATTAACTTGTAATATTGTATATAACCTTATTACATATATACATTATATATCTATATTATATCTCATATAAGAGGTTAGCGTTTTGTCTATTTCTGCACTATCCACATTGAAAAAATAAGTTTTAATATCAACAATTTTGACTTTTGCTTTAAATATTGTTCTGAGTCATATTGTATTCGAATATAAAACTTGTAAAATAAAGTTTTAATAATATTAATTACCTAATAGGTTAGATTAAGCTGACTACCTGGCTAGTAAATGAACACGTGATTTTTGACTACTTACTTGTACGTAGGCTACCATTTAAGTCATGGACCTAGGTAACACTAAGTATTGCCAAATGAATTTTAATATTTCTGTTCGAAAGTTTGACATTTTCTAAATGTCATTCATTACTACGTTTTAGTTAACACTCGCAAAACTTTAAATACGACTATTCGCCAATAAGAAATTACATAAAGCTAGACTCTGAGAAAATTTTTCAAAGTACCATGGTACATTAGGACGAATGACATCCTCAGCTAGCTCAAGATTAATCCCATCAAAAAATACAAAAAGGATAGAGCCCTGAAATTATTTGCGAAATCTGACAGACTTACCAACACCGCGTTATCAAATCTCAAAATGGTTACAGGCTCCTCGGGGAGGTATGGAGATCTGAGGTAAATTATTGCTTAGTCTGATGAAGTGATAAATAATAATCCAGTCAAGGCATAAACAGGGGTTTTAAAAATACCTCGAGTTAAGTAAGAGTAAAAGTGCTCAAGTGCACTAGCTTAAATAGCTTCAACATAATTAACTCGCTTATTGTGTTGTTTATATTGGTGCCAAATTGTGTCGTTCCAAAATAATTGATTTAAATTTTCGTGAGATGATTTTTAACGATTTTTTGCGCGTTGTTTCTTTCGCGACGAGTTTCGTGAAGGTCCAAGATGCGCAAGAAGGGCTGTTGTACCAGAAAACATCGACGTAGTGCGAGAAATAATTAAAATGAATTAGCATGTTACATACCGAGAGATAAAGGCGTCTTTAGGCATTAGTGGGCCAATCACTCAAAATAAGGCACATGTTGATTACTGCACGGAAATGCATTAAAATACAGACGAGGTATACGACATCGTTAAACATGATGAATTACGAATCTATAAGCGTAGAATCTATACGCTAAAGTGAGGTCATCGAAAGTGAGCAGAACCTGACTAGACTTGTCTGCGGTTGGAGCAAATTTTAGCAAATGGTCGCTTGTTTCTTCAGAAAAACCGGTCATGTCTTAATTATACCATTTGAACAACGTTGAAAAGTCAAGTCTTAAGAAAAAAAAGCGTGGCTATAAGGCTTCTGCGCCCGAATAGGTTATTGAGACATTAAAAACCCTGGTTTAAATACCAAATTCAGAGTAGCAAAACTGTTTCGCAAATTGGTTCAATCTGATTCAAAAATCTGTTGATCATCATGGATAATACTTCAAAAAACAATAAAACCATTTTCACTGAGAAACCACTGTGTTTTTATTATTAGAAGCAAGTCTTAAAAGACAGCCCTCGTACTTCTTGGTATCACATATGACTTAACTGCTACCTTTTTACAGCTGCGTTAGTGAATTTGTCTTACCTTATTTTCATAGGATATAGGATAGGATATTTAAGGCAGTTGTTCTCAAGCTTTTTTTGACCAAGGACCACTTGTGCTCCGCGGACCACCAGTTGGGAACAACTGATTTAAGGGTATGCTATTTTGAAGAATATTGTATATACATTTTTGTGTCTTAGACTGTTTAGATTATTGATATGACAATGCTAAAATTAGCCGTCTGTCAACATATTCTATTAAGTAATTCATACAATATTTTTACTACTACTTCATCAAAAGAGCACATTTACCACTTCAAGCAAATAAAGATTGTTTATTGTTATTGTATTTTTAAAATACAATTGATTTTTAATTGATTAAATCAACAAATTAAAAGTTTATTTCAAAAGAAATTGTCTAAACTTCAACTTTGATATTCTTCCAACAAAGCACTTAAGCGCAACATCAACTTTGAACAAAAGGAAGACAAAACATACAATAATCAATCACCCACAGCTCTAAGAATAAACAAACGGAGAGACACCGAAGCCATCAGTTAACATGAATCCATTATCAGTGATGCAAATACCTCAAAACAAAACTGGGAACCATCAAAGGACTCAATAGCTCCCGCTGCGTATAACGTAGTTTCCGTGAAAAGTTCAATGAATCACGAAAGCAGTATTGCTGACTTGTTTGTTAAGCAACGCCATGAACAGGACTAAAGTGCTAAGCAGCAAATTTAAGGGAAACACAGTGGCTGCATGGAATTTGCGATACTTAAGTGTGTAAATATTTAAGCATAGCAAATGCAACAACTTCCACGACAAAGGACAAGTGCAATAAGTTTTGCGGCAGCACTTTTTCCAAAATACACATAAATCAGCATAAAGCTTACTTCCGTGACATGTAATGTGACAACTCCTACATATGAACATGCGGTAGAAGGATTTTGGAAGTTTGCTGACAGTTTTTTAAATAGAACTCACTTTTGCTTCCCCAATAGAAAAAATGTACTTTTAAAACAAAAATCGTTCAACAAAGAATTCTGTCTTTTTTCAAGTCTTTTCTGATATCTGTATTTGTGTGGTAAATATCAATTAATGAAAATAAATGTAATTTTATAAATTGAGACAAATGTGTGATATGATACTAGCACGAGTGTATAAGCACATTGCTGATATTAAATTTCAAGCTGCAAGTCATCCGCAAGACAAAATACAATATTAAATATCGTCTATTCGTTGTTTGTGCATTGGTTCAAAACTCTTCCTGAGGTGCAGTACAGCTGGACATTTTCATGTTGGTTCAATGACAGTGGCTGCATTAAAATGCATTAGTAGTCTTGGTTTCGTCATGCTGTAAGTAATCCCTGCATCGTAGCTTAATATGATTTATGCGACAAAATTGAAAAAGCAATTAAATCACGTGGGATGTCCTTTGAACTATGATGAACTCAAAGTTTCAGCAAATATTTAACTTTGAGTGCAGTGTTAGTTGTTTTTTAATATATTCAGTTAATTAAATTTATAAATACCAAATAACATTTAAAAATTTGCTTCAACTACAAAAATGTCATTAGAAAGTCGTTTACATTTATCCGATGTTCCTCATCAAAGTTTACTTGTTGCCTGTGAGACCATCGCTCATCGTTCGGAAAAACGAAAATCAATTTATATTAATCACTGCTTTCCTATCATCAATATTAAAATGTCATTTAAGTTGCTATTTAAAGCAACATTTTCCATTTTCCTCCAATACGTGCTTGTGTTTTCCTTATCTTTAGTGTATTTCCATAATTGTACTTTTATTACCCCGTATCGGCAACACCATCTAACGTAGACACTATCCTTTTGTAATCACCTCGACTGAACAACGTTTTTATTGTCATTAATCGCATTTACCAACAAATTACTACATTTATCGGCATTTTGTTGTTATTGTTGGTAGTTTGTTGTTAGTAGTTTGTTGTTTGTTGTTTTAGCAACATTCAGTCAACAAAAATTTTCCCACATATGCATTCATCGTCTGTGGCAGTATATCCTTTGAACAAAGAAATACAAGTCTTATCATGATGGGAGCATTTACAGAGGTTTCGTCCTTTAATCAGACTAATCAAAATAAAATTCAAATGATTTCCTGTTTATTGTCACAGACGTTAATTTACATTTTAATGGTCTCTTATTTGTTGTACTTACTTTAGTTAAGGAAAAGGAAAAAGGTATTGTGATTTGGGTTTGAGGAAAATGGTTTAAAGATGATTAGTGTTAACCTTCTTGCGGTTCTAAGTATAAAACTAATTATAGTGGAAACTGGCAAACGAGCCACAGAATGTAGAAAAAAAAATTCAAACTGAATTGTTGAAAACATAACTTTGAGACGTGACTTTCAAATCTTGAATAGTACTTACACAATATGTACATAAAAAAAATTTATGTCTTCCTGCAATTTGGTTATAACCACAGAAAGATCTATAACCAAAGATTAATATTAATTATCTAATATTAATCTTTGGTCGTAGATTTAAGACTAGTAGCAACTCGTCACTCAATTTCTTTTGTAAGAAGTTTTATACTAAAAACTTACATATGTTAAATATTTATACAAAAAGTTTTTAGGAAAGCTATACTCTAGAGCTAAAGAACATTCAGAAAATCAGATTAATAACTTCCTTAAGAATAAGAATAAGAATGAACGGGGTACTAACTTTCAATTGAACAGAGCACTGCAACCATAATTGATCTTTTGTGCTACAACAGACCCTAACCGAACAGAAGACATTCCGCCTTCCGAATTAAGGCTAAAATATCGGCCGTTGAGGACCTCCTAATGTCGGAAGGTGAGAGCAGTTCCCGACCCAGTGTTCTCCTCCTGACCCAGATCAAGGCTGGACAGTCACATAGAATGTGTCTGGATGTCTTCTCTGCTTCTAAGCAGAGTCTATTCTCTATCTCTTCGGACAGACCCATTTTTTTGAGGTGGTAATGACTTCCTTAAGACATATTGAAAATAATTCTAAATAAACAGAACTCGCATTTATATTAAGTGTAAATTAATATTAAATAAGTACCAAAAGGTAATATAATACAATACTACAATATTGTTCCATGATCAAAGCTTCTAATAAAAGAAGAGTCCAACAGTCATACTGCCAGACTGTTTTAATAATCTTAGTAAAATATAGTAAACTTTATAATAGTTATTGTCTTAATTTTCACCAAATTATTGCCGTATACTAGTTTTTTAAATTATTCAACTTTCTAGATATTAAGGACATCAACCTTTATTTACCTTTATTTACTAAATAGCTAATGTTCTTTTATATAGTAATTAAATATCGTTTGAGGAATTCTCTGAATTATAAAGAACTATAGAAAATTCATATTATAGTTTGCAATTATAGGCTACATGGCGTTTCTCTAATTGGAGTGTATTGTAAGAGGACCTGTTTATTGCAAAGCATTTACTTTAAGTAGTGCTATCACAAGCAAATTGTTAAAAGATTATCTATCTTAGAAGCACCTCATAAGACAGTAGGAATCCGACCTACTGATGAAGAAAGTTGCCAAAATGAGGATGATCATTTTGACAATGCGCGTTAACTATTAGAATTATATTTTGAGTAATTCAAGTAATCAACGAATTTTACGATCCGTTGTTTTTTCCGCATATATTTCTTGTTAAGCAATTTGGTGATACTGAGGTAATAGTGATAGTGATAATGATTGTGATAGTTATAGTGATATTAGTAGTGATGGTGATAGTGATAGTGATAGTGATAATGATAGTAATATTGATAGTGATGGTGATACTGATAGTGATAGTGATAATGATAGTGATAATGATAGTGATAGTGATAGTGATAGTGATAGTGATAGTGATAGTGATAATGATAGTGATAATGATAGTGATAGTGATAGAGAAAGTGATACTGATACAGATTGTGGTTGTGCTTGTGTACTGATAGTGGTAGTGATTGTGATAGTGATTGTGATTGTTATAGTGAAAATGATAGTGAGATTATGAAGAAAATGATAATTAATGTGTGATAATAGTGACAGTGATAGTTTTTGTAAAGACTGTTAACGCTTTAAAAACAATCATCTATCAACCCAGCCAATTTCCAACTATGTGCCAACAAGTCAAAGATTACCTGAAAGGAAATCATTACTATGATATGTCACAGGAAAGATGTTGAATAAATTTGTATTTTGCACTAATATATTTGATATAATTAAAATCTCAATAACAAATATGTTTTCTTTGCAAGGTTTAATTTCTAAACCACAGTATATATAACACTAAGTTTACATTAGCGTAGGTTTGCAGATGTAGGCATAGAAGTTTTCATATTAATGACTAGTTGTCTAACACAATGAATTAATAAACAAAAAAATGTTTTAGAAAAAATGCTGCAAATCTTATCTGTAAGTCTTACGGAAAAGCAGTTTTTATAAATACTCGCATCTTTCTGTATTTTTTATCTTCTCACCTACAATTAACTTCGCTAATCAGCTAGATACTTTTTGCTATTTTTAACAAAACATGAAATCCAGAATTAATTTTAATTTATCAAGGAAATTTATTTTACTTTTCTAAAAATATAATTTCAAACCTGGTGGGATTTTAAAATAAATTTATCTAAAAATACTTCATTCAATACGTGTTATTTTTAGTAGCAAAACCTTTATTTTAAATAAGCTGAGATCATATAATGAATCCCTTATAATTAGACTACAATAAAATTGATTTTAAGTAATTATGTTTTATTGAATTTATTTTTAGTTCGAAGATAACTTTAAATTAGATGAAGCAAACAAAATATAGTATCGGCATTAATAATAGTAATCGCTTGTAGAAAAGTAAGCACCCCACCTCCAACAGGACAACAAAACTGAGAAGGATAATGCAGCTGAATGAAAGTGCAGAATAACAGCTGCCAATATATGCAGTTAAGCACAGCAAAGGACATTGACACTTGAGCATATGAACAGTCCTGCAAGCACAACACAGAAAATAAGAGTGCAAATAGTCAATAAAACGTTGTAACCGGAAATACAACTCATGGCGAGAAATATTGTAGTAGATAAACAATTACAGGAAGCAATTCTTTTAAAATTGTCTAAAATAAAAACAAACAGCAAAACATTGAGAGAGCAGAGGGAAAACCGTGAGCAAGTGGCAAATGGAAGAGCGCCTTACAGACTTCTACAGACTTTGCAGACAATGAAAAGCTATAAAAGGAGCCGCGCTATGAAAACAATTTCAAACGCTGCAGGACAACGTTTTTGTGCAGTACGGAAGAAAGTTGAATCCTTGTAGGAAACAAAAGCCAAGAAGACAAAAAGTGTTTGTGTTTCTACTTCAGCAAAATACCGGCAATAATAAATGTGCAAGACTTTACATTAAGAAAATTAAAGAATTGAAGACAAAGTTTGAAAGTTGATAATTACAGATATATTAACTAAATTTGTGCCAAAATTAAATTTAAATCAAAAGTAACTATTTTTGTCAAAATATATATATAAACTTTTATAAATAAAATTTCAACAAAATCAACATAAAATAAATAAATTATAAATAATATTAAAAGTTCTTATGTGTACAACTGTACTGATAACTGACCTAAAAAATTAGTTGCACCAATTTTACTCCATTTTGCATAACTACGAAACTGCCATTTCGGAAGCAAAAACAACATTAACAATAACAACAAAAATTTTGCATTTTACACAATTACTTCTAAAACAACAATAAAAATAGACGAACAGCTTAACAATGGGTACTCCACATGTATGCTTTGCGGATATGCCGCAGTATGAAATCTTGGGTAAGTGCAAAAAGTCAACCGATGTCATTGCAACAACACTAACAACGGAATATGATGACGCAGCAGCACTGCAGCGGGAACGAAACTTCAGTAAGGAGTGCAGCATCTCACCTAGCAGCATTTCACCAACACCACGTTACGAACGCAATATGGGCTTCTTTCAGCAACTGAGTCGTCGCTTTGGTTTGAGGTCAAACGATGACCTAGTTTATGCAGCTAACGAAGATGATGCAAACAGTTCATCGACCGATTCGTGTTCTTCCACTACAGGCACAATGCCAGCTATGCAATCGTCTGCAGGCAATTCAATTTCCTCAACATCATCATCAGCAGCAATAATACGCACCAATATGAGAGAAATACATGGCTATAGTATGGAGCATATATCGTGTGCATCCAGTGAGACAAGCAGTACTATTGATATAGAAGACCATCATCAACAACAGCAACAACAACAAAAACACGAATCAATTGCAGTCAAAGAAAGAAAATCGGTAACACGTTCCAGTTTCTCACGGTTACAACGACGTTCCACTTCATCGATACGACGCGCCTTTGAAAGTTTCTCATTGTCATCACGTTCGCTTTCCTGCAGTGGTGCATCACCAACGCCACCTAATGACAGCACAACCGGCAAAAATAATATACAGAAATCAGCACTTAAATCTACATCAAATACGGAACTTAATAAGCGTGCATCTATTTCGACTACAACCAATAATAGCTCCACAAAGTCCTCCAAAACCAAATCGAAGCCACCACCACAACGCATACTGCGCCAGCCAGTTTCATACACATATCTCAAGGGTATATCGGGCTTACCCACACAACGTGTACCAAGAAGTTCCGTTTGTTGTCAATATGCAAGGCGTTGAAGCGTAAGCACAGTCAATATTAAAATATCATCAATATAGAAATATAGAAACGCAACACAGCCGTAAAGTATGCCAAACATTTTCATATACCAATAACACGTAGACAAAACATTTATACTCGTATGTACTTAGCACAGTTTCAGGCGTTTTGAAATTGTTTTAGAGGGTTCGTATTTGTTTTTGCAAATATTCGTTAGTAACGATAATCATAGTAGCATTTGTATATCTTATGAGAGACATGAAAGGTACGAAATACATATGTTACACTCTTAACAAAAAAAAAAAAAAAACTCCACAATAAAATTTACACAAAACTTAATTTATAACACGAGCAAGAAACTGCTACGTACACTCAGAAGAAAATATTTCGTTATAAACAATACGAAGGTCCTTTTTATTAAACTAAAATGCATCCTTTGGAATTATACACACATTTGTAGATTTAATTAACGTTACACAAAGCAAAAAGCGTTACGCGTATTTATAGAAATAAGATCGCAAAAAATTCCTTTGCCATTGACGCAGTGGTCAGCGTAATACATGCAATCAAGTTTATATAAGTATTTTTAGTTATTTCGACGTCATCATTTAAGAACTGTGATATTAATCGATTCATATCCAAAAGACAAAAAAAACTCAAGTATTTTTAGTTTAAAGACAACAGCATGAAGGATTCAGACACAAAAGTATACATAGCAAGCGAGTTAAAATTTGATGTTAATTTATACAGAAATGTAGGAAAAGTTTTAACATGAGCACTGCGTCAGAATAATTATTTTAATTATATGACTTTTACTTAATGATAAAAACAAACAAAAGAAATTTTTTTCTACTTTTTTATTAAGAAATTCCTTAAGACAAAAAAAAATTTATATATAATATGCACAGCCAAAATAAGCAGACTTTATGTAAAGCTCCTTTACTAACGTAATTATTATAAAATGCTGGAATTTTCGTCATAACTATATAAGATACATTTTGTTAAGTATCTTCAAGCTATTATATGTTTAATAGACAGTTAAGAAATAATTTATGAATTTAGTAGTAAATCCAGTATGAGAAAATATGTAATAACTTTGCTTAGAACTTATTAAAGTTGCTTTAATTAAAGTCAGCTAACAATGCCAACTAAATAAATGGCTCGCACTAAAGCACTCAATAAAAAATTAAAAAAAAATATTATTTAAAATATATTAAGTCTACTGTACTTAACACTTTTAAATTGAAGCAATATATTTTGCTTCTTACTTTTTAAATGAAATAATTTTGATCAAGTATCTAGATACTTTCTTTTGCAGTTTTCCAAATTGATTAAATAAATAAATGATTAATTATGATGGAGCTAATATATTGAATAAAATTTATTAGCTGAAATCATTTTAATTGAATTTTTAAAAAGAAACATTTAATCTTAATTAAATAAAAACAACATTTCTACCACTCTACGTAGAAATGCTTCAAGCAGGATCTCCCAAGACTTATGTTATTCTTACTAGTGTAGTTATATTTTTATTTTAAATTCTTATTTTTTTATTGAGTGTTCGGAATTTTTTTTCACTATTTTAATCGTATATTAGCGCAAAGTATAAAGTTAGATACTTAGAATTATTGTAAATATAACTTAAATATAAAATATTTAAATATGATTGATGAACTTTAATAACCCAAAATATTAAGACTGGTTTAATGTATAAAGATTAAAAAATAAAATATTTTTAAAAATTTGCTAAATGCTTTAAAATTAATATTAAATAAAAGAAATTTAAACAAGGATTAAATTGAACTGCTAACTTAACAGTATTTAAGTCTCTTTTATTAGCTAATTTATTTATAGTATTTTTCATCTAAAATATTTCACAATAATATGTTATCTATTATTTCAATAACAATAGAAAGTGAAATAAAAATATTTCACAATTATAAATAATGAATCCCACAAACTTAAACTTCAAATCTAATAAGATATTTATTCACTTATTATTTCATCAGCAATTAGTTTTAATTATCATTTTACTAGCAATATTTTATTATTTTAAAATTTAAAAAATATATTTTTTCCTTATTATATCTTTGTTTCATACAAGCATAAGTATATTTAATTCCATTTATTTTTAATTAAAATTTAATCACTATTTTATTATTTTAAAATTTAAAATATATATTTTTTCCCTTATTATTTTTTTATTTCATACAAGTATAAATATATTTTATTCTATTTATTTTTAATTAAAATTTTATCAGTATTTAATTATTTTTAAATTATAAAAATATATTTTTTTTCCTATTATTTCCTTATTTCATACAAATATTAATATATTTTATTCCATTTATTTTTAATTAAAATCACATCATCAATATTTTATTAATTTTGTATTGGATAGATACATTTTCACATTCCTTTGTTCCTTATTATAAACAAGTATATAATATATAATTATATACAAAGCACTTTTTAATATTCTTAAAATAATAAACTGCAAATTATTTCCGACGGGAACAAAGCACTAGAAAAATATTTAATATTACTTTAGTAAATTTGTTTTTAAATAGTATGCTTTACATTATTTTAATAAATTAATTAATAAATTAAAACCAAAATATTTCTATAATAAATTTTCAAATAACCAGAACTTTGAACTTATGAACTGCACTACGTAGTGATTCAGTATATAATAAAAATTAAATTGAGCATTGCCTATGAAAACATTAAAAATTTATTATCTAAAATTTAATAAATAAAATAAATAAATAAATTTGAATACTTTACCATACCGTAGCAGCGTTTTTATGAACTCTCAAATATACCAAATCTTATAAGCCAAGCAATAAATATTCAAATTTAATACTTTATTGTATATATACATTTATATTATATTAAGTGATTATTAAAACAATATAAATATTACTAAGCAAGTCACAACAACATTGTACTTATTTACAGCATTTTAAATATATATATATAAAATATATATTCAAAAAAATATGTATAAAACAATGCAGCCGAGTATTGCATGTAAAATTCATACTCTCTTGTTTAAATTATAAATAAATAAATAAAAAAAATAAATAAAAATTAATAAAATTTACAATTAAAATAAAAATAAATAATTTGTTTTAAAATTTGCATTCTAAAAATTTACTACAAAATATAAATATCGGGAGCTATCTATAACTTACTCTTATAGTGTAGATACAATAAATATCTCTCCACCTATTTTTATTAAATCTTTAGTTTTTAACTTTAAAATAGAAAAATATTTCAGATACACAGAAAATCCTATTTCTATAGTTGCGATATTAAAATTCTCCAAAGATCGAACTATAACAGCTCCTGGTTAGAAAATTGTTTCAAGTTGGCCTGATGAAGGTATTATCGTTTTTTTCAAGCTTCCAAGCGGTGTAAGCATGTTCTTCTCGGATGTATAGCTATGAGTTGTAACTTCTACCCCTAATTGCGTTTGCTTTGAGTCCGTACCTTTATAGACCAACCTGTAATTTTAGAAACATTGAAAATGAATTCATTCAGTGGCTAAAGAATAAATACATACAATTTATACCCTAAATTATACTCTCCTTTACCCTATAATACCTTTTGTCGCGATTTTGTCTCTGCGTATGAGTAGAAAATTGTACTCCACCTCATGTGTAAGTGTTCTTCATTCGCTAGGAGAAAAATTAAAATCTTTGGGGTTCCTTTTCTTACCGCTCTGACAGAGCTGCCATTCTACAGAATTAAGGACTTGCCCAAGTTTATACAATTATCAAGCTAGTCTAGACTTAAGTATATTGTTAATCATAGTTTATAGGTATAAGCTAACAACAGTCTTAAGAAGTAGAAATCATTCCAAGCTAAAAAAAAATACATAAACTTCTGGAAACAAATACACAAACTTCTGGACGAGCACATGACAAGGAGAGCAAAGGTAAGGTGGCGGAGCTTGACCACTTGTAAAATAGCTAGAATCATGTGTAGGCACATATATGACGAAAAGTACACCAAGGATATTATATCGTCTAACCGAAGGAACTTCAGAACATTAATTGGTGTGTTGACAGGTCACTGTCTGGTCGCATCACATGCCCGAAAACTAAACCTAACTCACAGCGATGCTTGTAGGAAATGCAACGAGCCGAATGCAAAGGAAACTCTGAAGGATCTACTATGTAATTGCCCGACTCTTTCGAGAACTAGGCAAAAATACTTGTGGGCTGTCAGTTTAACTGGACTAAAGCACATACCTGAGGTTTCTGTTGGAATCCTAATAAAATTTGCTAACAAAACGCGCATTCTAAGTGATGCACACAATCGTAAAATAAGACGCTGATCTGGTATCGCAATGGATCTTAATGGTCTATGCGTGGCCTTTTTGGTCGGCCGGCATAATCTAATCTAATCTAACCTACTAAATATAGAAACTTAGAAATACTAATATATTTTTTTCATGTTTCGAAGTTCAAATTTTTGAAAAATGAGCTTTAATTAAACATTTTTTATAAAAAGTATGTAGTAATAATATGTCTTTACATTCTTGTATTAAAGTTCATTTCTGCAAGTTTTTAGTTCGGTTTTTAATTTTAAAGAAGAAAAGAACATACTTAACAAATGTTAATATATAATTTGTTAAAAAAAATTAATTCGTATACTTTCCCAATACGCGTTCCTTCAATTTATTGTTAAATTATATACTTCAGTATTATATATACTATAAATACTTAATAGAATTTATACATATTAACATTAACAAGTATATATATTAAATGAATTTTTCGATGGTCTTTCATTGTGAAAATTCCCACAAAAATCAGTACAAATCACTCAAGTAGATTTCATCAATAATTTCGGACAATTCGTACGTCATTACTGAAAGTACTTGAAACTACACGAGCGTACCAATCATAAACGTTTGTTCATTTCGCTTACACATGTAAGAGATTTTGTGCACTTTGTGAAAATTTCGTTACTTGCAGATACAAGATACACAAGTATCGAAGCATTGTATGA